TGTGCTCCTCACAACAGAGGGTCCTTTGTTTTTGCCATTTCGCCACCAATGAGTGCGACGTGCAACTCCACTGGGTGTAGCCATGCTGCCATCACCTCTGATGTCTCTTGGTAAATGGGCTCATTTCTTGTGGAACCATCTGTCAACAGGAAGAGGAGGTGGAGGTTCTGATGTACTGTAGTCCCTCGATACTTGAGAAGTCTAGCAGCTGCGTTCTGTATTACTTTTAGACGTGAAACAGAAGACTTGTCCAGGCAGGCCAAAAGGGCATTACAGAAGTCCAGACGAGATGACAAACCATGAATAATTTTCTCTAGGTCAACTCTGGAGACCATAGATCGTATTTTAGAAAAGTTTCTTAAATGAAAGAAACAAGAATGGGAAATAGGCCTAATGTGTGACTCAAAGCCTAATGATAAGTCAAATGTGACTCGGCTACTGGGCAAAAAGAGGAAAAACTGATTGATTTTGGATGTAGGTGACTGGGAGCTATAATCAAAGTCTCCATCTTACTGGTGTTTAAAACCAAGAAGTTACTGGAGAGCCAGTCACTGATACGGGACAAACATTGGACAAAGATGGCCAACCTGTCCAGCTGGTGTGGTCTAAATGAAAAATACAATTAAATGTCATCAGCATAAATGTGATAGGAAATATCAGAAAAAGGACTGAATAATGCCAGCAAGTGGGATAATATAAAAGGAAAACAAAAGTGGACCCAGAACTGAGCCTTGTGGCACCCCACAAGTTAAAGGGGCATAGTCAGAGGAGAACCTGTCTGTCTTGACGCAGAAATACCAGCCATAACCTTCAGCCTGTTTAACAAGGTTGCGTGGTCGACGGTATCAAAGGTGGCACTAAGATGTAATGGGACCAACACAGAACATTTTCCTTCATCATATCATATTCAAAGTGCCTTTGCCTCATCTGCAAGTGTAACGGAGTGGCATTTTTGGACTATTCATAAAAACTACAACACTATAACTTCCTTCCCAAAAGCGAGCTGAGAAAGAAAAAGATGAAGGAACTAAAATCCCAGTTATTTGGACCGCAGTCATTTTTCCCAGAGTTGACCACAAAAGCAAACGCAGGTACCGAAGAATCATTCTGGGCAAGTCACTTTAATAGTTGTTAAGCATAAGTCTTTTCAAGATGGAGAGATAGTCAAAGAGGCATTAGTTGAAGCAGCTGACTCGTTGTTCAGAGACTTTACGAACAAACCTGAAATATTATTATCTTCGTCAAAGCTTTCCAGGTATCAAGAAATATGGTTAGACTGATTCAGTCATGAGGACTCATTTACAAAGTATAAAGTACAGACAATAAACTACAGTAAAATGCAATTAAAATAAAAGTAATGTTAGAAAACAATAAATCAAGGTGCCATATAAAACATGGTAAAATACTAAAAACAAGAACGTAAAACAAATAAAGCATACTTAATGTTTATAAATATGTGTTTTGTATTTTTATAGTATCACATGGACTTGAGTCATTTTAAATAACTCACATGCTGAAAAAGTATGGATACCTCTGAACTACACGGCCAAGACGCCAATTCAATCCAATTCAGTTCAGTTTATTTATAAAGCACTGAGTCACAACAGAAGTCGTCTCAGGGCACTGAACAGAAACATTCAAATATAAAATAATAATTTAACATTGTCTGAGGAGCGGACTGCTTTGAATTTAACTCCATCACAGAACTCTCATCTTGAGCAAGCATGAAGGCGACAGTGGAAAGGAAAAACTCCCTCATGAGGAAAAAACCATTAGCAGAACCAGGCTCAGGACAAGTGGCCATCTGCTTCGACTGACTGGGTTCGGTAGGAACAGATACACAATGGCAATCAAGGATCACATGTTAAGATAGAAATAGTATTCAATGAAAACTATTAATTTTCACAGTTCATTTAAGGAAATTAGGTCAATTTGTCCACTAGTAGTCTAAGTCTATAGCAGCATGACAAGCCAACCCTAACTATAAGATTTATCAAAAAAAGACCAGTCTTAAAACTGGACAATGTGTCAGTCTCATGGACCGAAACTGGAACTTGGTTCCACAAGAGAGGAGCCTGATAATTGAAAGATCTTCCCCCATTCTGCTTTTGGAAACTCTAGGGTGTCAGGAGTGGTGTTTTTGGAGCAGAACCCAGTGGTGCAGGCAGGACTCAGAACCAGGGAGGAAAATAAGAAGTACTTTAATGAATACAAATAATAAGCTGTCGTGGCAGCAAAGCACTTACATGGCATGAGGAAATAACCAGGAACTCGAGGAGGGAAACTGGACCAAGACCAAGACGATTACTAGACGATGCCCAGACAACAAGTAACACAGAGTAACAATCACACACACCTGGACAAGACACATAGGTGGAAACAATCAACACAATTAACAGAGAAACCAGGAAGTGTAAGGATGGGGACCAGCCATCAGAGGGCACCATCTTTACATAGGGTCCACGAGTAAACCTGCAGTCTGAGAGTGAAGTGCTCTGTTAAGAAAATATGGAACAATAAGATCTGTAATATAAGATGGAGCTAGGTTGTTGAGAGCTTTGTAGGTTAGAAGTAAGATTTAGAATTATAATATGGATTTGACAGGAGCCAACGGGGAGAAGCTAAAACTGGAGAGATATGATCTCTCCCATTAACCCCAGTTAAGACTCTGGCAGCAGCATTTTGGATCAACTGAAGACTTTTTAAAGAAGTATTTGGACACCCAGATAACAAACCATTGCAAAAGTCCAGTCTAGTTGTGACAAATGCATGAACTAGATTTTCTGCATCATTTTTAGATGTTTCTAATTTTAGTGATATTACGCAGGTGGACAAATAAGGTTCCAGTAACGTTTTTAATGCGGGGGACAAAAGACATGTCCTGATCAAAAATAACACCAAGGTTTTTAACGTTAAAGCTGGAGAACAGATTAATGCATCCAAGGAGGGAGAAAGACTGAAAAAAATATATTTAAGATGGTCATGTCCAAAAACCAAAACCTCAGTCTTGTCTGTGTTCAAAAGCAGAAAATTTAGGGACATCCAGGTTTTAATGTATTTAAGACATGCTTGTAGTCTAAGTAACTGATTGGATTGTTTGGGTTTCATAACTCTGTATCATGAGCATAACAATGAAAATTTCTCCCATGCTGTTTAATAACATTACCTAATTGAATCATATTATTACTATAAGTTGATTATTTTTTTCATGTTTGACTAATGCATGAATTGCATTGATTGTTTAGTTGTTGAAAAATTATTTTCATGAATGACTATTGCTTTAATTGATTGTTTGTATTGATTTTTTTGTCTAAGAAGGGGCAGTTATAAGATTTTTTCTTCTTCTGCTTCCTTTCATTTTAAATTTTCTTTTCTGTTTTTTTTATCCATATGGATTGTAAATTGTTTTTTTTTTCCTGTGTTCTAATTTGAAATGAATAAAATAAATGAAAATGAAAAAAAATATATATATACAAGGTAAAGAATATTGGTCCAAGCACTGAACCTTGAGGAACTAATTTTGGTGTATGATGAAGATTCATTATTTACATTTACAATTCGGAATCTGTCATAGATATGATTTTAACCAATTTAGAGCCATTCCTGTAATTCCAACATCATATTCAAGCCTCTGTAGTAGAATATTATGATCAACTGTATCAAATGCAGCACTGAGGTCTAACAGGACCAGTGTAGACACCTGTCCATTGTCTGAGGCCATGAGAATATCATTAGTAACTTTCACCAGTGCAGACTCAGTGCTGTGGTGAGCTCTAAACCCTGACTGAAACTCAACAGATTGTTTCTTTGCAAGTCAACAGTGCGTCCGGCCGCTGCTCTCTGCCGAAATTCAAAGAGCAGCAAACACTAGCAGAGAAACCGAGGAGGTAAAAAGTTTTGCAACACAAAGTCAGAAGTAACAATTTATCTATGAAGCTCACAGAACTGTCAGAAAAGTCGCAAATAATCCTGAAGCTGAACTCATCCTTCAAGTTGTGTCTTCACTGGTGAGTACCCATGTAAAATTTTGCAGTACTGTACAGTACTTTTTTTTTTCCCATTCATTCATTCAACCTTTAATTATACAGGCTAGCCTCATTGAGCCACGGGGACTCATTTACAAGAGGGACCTGTCCAAGACAGAACAACAAAACAGTAGACAATGACAACAATAAACTACAGTACATACACATATGTTAAAATTACGTAGGTTTGGGAGTTTAGAACATTGTTAAGGACATTGCATGAGTTTGGGAAGGGTTTATACAGCCTTAATATATAAATACTAAAATAAATAGTGTTCCTACTTCATGGATTTTCACTTATGGCGGGGTGTCTGAGACATAACCCCTGCGATAAGCGAGGGCTACTGTATTCATGAATCATCTGGTGACGCTCTGCTGTCTGTTAACGTCAGAACCGGCTCCTCGGAGCAGACCACTTGGAACCACGAAGAAGGTGGTCCCATAAACTGGGCTGAGTGGGGTGGTACCAACAGTGGACGGGCTCTTAACTGGTGCTGTGTGGAGCAGAACCAGAGAGTTGAGATGTGTGGGATGAGCCTCAGGATGGAGTTATCTGCATCCGTTTCTCAGTTTAAAAAAGTGGAACTCGTTCCAGAAGGAAGTGAAATGTTCATCTACAGAATAAAGGTCCGGTTGTCTTGATATTTTCAAAATAAGAATAGAAATGGAGGAACTGAATGCTCAGCTGCTACCACACCAACCTTTTACTTGACGTGAAAAACTCACCGACCTGCAGTGAGCTTCATTAGCTGCTGCGGCCATCTTGAATTGTTAAAACAGATAAGCAGTTGTAGATGTCGGGGGTCATTGTGGGTTTGGTTTGCTGTTTGCCATCCACGTGTGAAAATAAAACCAACACAACAACCAAAGGGGATTTTTTTTTCTAGATTTACTTTTATACAATAAATAAAATCAGTTCTTTAATGAAACACAGTCAGACAGGAAGCTGCAGAGAGGTCACATGATTTAATCTCAGTAAACGCGTCGTCTCATTGAGCCACAGGTTACCATGGAGAAAGCAGAATCTGCTCCGCCCACCTCTTTAATGCTCTGAAGTGGGTGGAGCCTCTGCTTCCTCATTGCTCGGACCCGACATCTGCATGAAGAGCTCTCGAAGCTCTGTGATGTCATCATCCATGGACGGTAAGGGCGGGGGCGCCCGCTGTTCGCGCTCCTGGATGAAATCCCACAGACGCACGTTGTTCATGAACTGAAGAGAAGAAAACAACATTAGAAACTACAAATTCCAGCTGGAATGAACTACAACTCCCAGGTAGCAGCAGTGCTTTCTGACCCGAACGTTTCCCTCGGAGCTCAGCTGCTTACGGGGCCGGTCCGGTTCTGGTTGAGTTCCGTCTGGGAAGGCGTGAAGATACAAACATTTTCCTCCAAACGGACAGGAGCCACGGCCCTGATCGAAGTACTTACAGGCCTTCTTACTGCAGACACCAGGAAACACTTCCTGTTCAAACTGCCAGCTCATTGGCAGACAGCAGGTAGGCGGGGCTTAGACCGGAAGCTCACCTGACACCTGACTTGAAGAGCTCTATCAGCTGATCCTTTTCCTCCTGATCCTCCACCCAGAACGCCGAGGGAATGACGAACTCTGAGATGACCCGACACTCCGGACACGACCTGCGAGGAGTCATACGATCAGAACCGCAGAACCTCTGACACAACCACAGAACCTGCTACAGAACCACAGTTCAGCAAAGAACCATGTTAAAGGAGACCTTCATGCTGTTCCCAGCAGCCTCACTGAGAACCAGTTCTGGTTCCTTTAGCTGAGTCCATCTGAACCTCAGACTAACTGAAACAGGATTTTAACTCTGCAAGGTCCAGTTGAAGGATGAATGGATCTCTCAGATTCTGGTTCTGGTCTTTGATGGATTCAGACTTTCAGATTCAGCTGGTCTCCTGGAGAAGTTTTAGACCAAATTCTTCTTTGGTCTTCCACCGGTCCAGTTTGTCCAAGGACCTGAGAGATGCATCATCAGTGTCTGGACCCAGACTGTGGTCCAAGTGGACTTGACTCTCACTTGATGATCTTGTTGCAGAAGGTTCTGGTTCCACGCCACTGCCGGATGCAGGTGAGACAGAAGACGTGACAACAGGAGGACAGAATGCCGAACCTTCGCTCCGACAGGCTCGCCTTCTGAACCACCACCTCCATGCAGATGGAGCACACCTGAACAACAACAACACCTGTCAGGACAGCCGTCACCATGGAAACAGGCACAGAGACCCGACATACCCACCTTGTCCTGGCTGAACTGAGCTGCGAAGGCCTTCTCCATGTCGGCCTCGAACGCCAACAGACACGCCTGCAGAAACACACAGTGTAGCATTAGGCTCCGCCCATCCTGGACTCAGACAGACATCTGTGCGGAGCTCTAACCTTCTCGTGCATTCTCCTCTGCTCAGCATCAAAGGGGTGAAGCACATGCAGGCTGCACACCTCACACAGGTTGCCATGGAGATAGGGGCATCTATCCTCATAGTAACACCGTCCAGCAGCAGCATAGGGACACAGCTGGGGAACATCATGATAAGCTCCGCCCATTGGGGGAGGCTCTGTAGGTGGAACAGGTAAACAGAAATCTATCCACACACAATACTGATGACATCACACCGGCCAACCAATTAGATGGCTGGGTTCAGTACAGACCTTGTTCCAAAGATGAGACGTCCAGTCCAGTTCTGATAGCGGCCACATACGACTGCGGAGACGCCGCTGCCGGAATCACGGAGTCCAGGCTGTCTACTGGGCCCCCATACGCCACACCACCACCAAGAGCTAAAGAAGAAGGGGTGTGGTTAAAAAGGAGGCGTGGCCTGTATGGTCGCGCATCATTGTTTTTGTTGTACATGAAATGATGTCGTACATTAAATGAAATTTTAATCAATAAATTAAGCAATATAACTTTAATGTCCATAACATTCCATGAAATGGAGACTTGTCTTTGACTTTTAAAAAAATTGTCCAAAGTGTCACTCATGAAACTGAGCAAATACTAGATCAATAATAAAAATACATAAATGACTGATTAACAACAAAAACACCAGTCCCTGAGACTCCCCTGTCTCTCACCAGTCCCTGAGACTCC